CCAGAACACGCGAACCCGGGATGAGCCCCCTGGCCAGGCCTTACCCAGGCTGACGATCTCCCATAGCAGCACCCCAAAGGACCACCTGAAAGAGACACAGCCCGTGAGTCTCCAGCAGCGCCTCCCTCCCCGCCCCTCGCCCACCTCCGGAGGTGGCAGCACGTTTGCCTGAGGCCGTATTGTGGGGTGGGGATGAGAGGGGCTGGGTCGCACTGGGGGTGGGGCCAGGAAGATGGAAGCACTGGAATTGGGGCCATACTCTTCAGGGCTAGGCCTGCGACGTGCTGTGCTGAGCAAGGCCAGCACAAGGGGGCCCCGCGGTAAGAAACAGGCCCCCCGGCTCAGAGCACTGAGGACCTGGTGGAGTGGGAGAGGAGCTAGAGGCTGAAGCAAGCCCTGGAGATGTAGGAGCAGTCGCCCCCCAGAGCCAGAAGGGAGGGGCTGGAATTGGGGCCATACTCTTCAGGGCTAGGCCTGCGACGTGCTGTGCTGAGCAAGGCCAGCACAAGGGGGCCCCGCGGTAAGAAACAGGCCCCCCGGCTCAGAGCACTGAGGACCTGGTGGAGTGGGAGAGGAGCTAGAGGCTGAAGCAAGCCCTGGAGATGTAGGAGCAGTCGCCCCCCAGAGCCAGAAGGGAGGGGTTGGGGAACCCACGTATTGCCTCGCCCCTGGCCTGTCTGCCCCACCGGCCCGGGGCAGGACTCACACGTCGCTTTTGGTGGTGTACACACTGTAGTTCAGGGACTCGATGGCCATCCAGCGAACCGGCAGGCGGCCCTGGGGAAAGAGCCACTGTAACAAGCAGGAGAGGAGGAAACACCCGCCCCCCACGGCCAGGAACCAGCCACTCTCAGCCCAGCTGGGGTCCACATGCTCCCCCCAGACAAGGAGCTGGGGAGAGGTCGGTCAGGGAAGGGCGGCCCCGTCCAGCTGTCCAGGGAGCCGGAGCACAGGGGGGATCTTGCAGCAATGGTCCCTAGAGCGTCTGGGCTGGGGCACAGCGGGATGGACTCACCATGGTCTTCTTCACGTAGACCTCCTCCCCTCGGGAGAGGCCAAAGTCGGCGATCTTGGAGGCCAGGTTCTCCCCCACCAGGATGTTCCTGGCTGCCAGGTCCCTGTGAATGAACTGAGACGCCATGCCGAGTGAGAGCCGGCCCTGCGCGACCCCTTGGAGAGAAGCAGGCAGGCCTCCTGTTCCTCCCCCCTGGACACAGGGACCAGCTCTAATGAGGGGAAGCAGCATCCACCCCCTGGCACGCCACGGCTGGGAACAGGCAGGTGCCCGCAGGCCCACGCCATGGCGCTCTGGAGATGCTGAGGGACACCACTTCATGGCCCTTTCCTGGGGCATGGGGGGGCTCCAGCTCCTGCTCCTGCTCCGCAGGGCTCCTGGGTTCTGGGGAGTCTCCCCTGTGCCAGCTGAGGGCAGAAGCAGGCAGCTGAGCTGCAGGTGGCTCTCGGGAGCCCGGGCAGGAGACTGGGAGCCAAACTGCCGGAACTAGGCTGGGGCGGGC